CCATTGCGCGCGTCCAGCAGCGATTGGTGGTTGAGTTGGTTGATGTACACTGTACATCAACCGAGAAGTCGACCCCCCCCACGGATATTATCCTTAGCGATAATAATCCGACAACATCACTCATTTCGAGTGATGATGATTGAATATTATCAAAACTGAATATAATCGAAAATTGGTACTTTCATACCAATTTTTATGTAACGGGCTCACCCCGTTACAATTTTTGGATGGTGCCAAATCAGTCTTTGGCTCTATTGATCACATTGATTTACATATGGAAGCTGTCGACACGACGGTACCTTTGCCATAGTATACATGAGCGCTACGATGCGTGCGTCATACTTTAATGACCTCGCAGGTAGAGCTGTTGACTTTGCATATGCGTGCAAAGGGAGATACGAGTGCGCGGTCGATGTTATTTTCCAGACTGTACTGTGTGGTTGCGATTCTCACGAAATCTACTCTTGATCTCACTATATACTACGTACAGAAGCTCTTCACTATCTCAAGATTTCTGCAAGCTGCACAGCTTCTCCACCCTTCTTGTCAGTTGCCGTGCCTCCACTTCCAACACTCCTCCCGCTGCACTGCTCTTACCGCAATCCTATCATCTCGCGTAGGTCGGCGACTCTAGGCACCGGGACACTCTTCGTCGGTAGATCCGCGATCATCTCGTTGGTCGCGATGTACTCGGGCCTCACGATGCCATTGGAGCTCGTGTCGCGTACGAACTTCATTTTAACGTCGACGTGCTTCTGTGCGCTCGACGTGGCTTCGTTGTCGATCTTCTTGATCGCCGCTTGGTTGTCCACCATCATCTGCATCGGCAACTTCACGCTCGCGTTCATCTCTGGCAGTAGGTTCTTTACGCCCAGGAGCTCCTTCGCACCAACATCTGCTGCCACGAACTCGGCTTCCGCAGTTGAGAGTGCGACTGCGGACTGTTGCTTGACTTGCCATCCAACGGGCATCCCGTCGACGAGAAGCACTGCACCGCTGATCGACTTTCGCGTGGCCTTGTCGGCCGCTTAATCCGCGTCGGTGTAGCTAGTGAGTCTCACCTCATTGGCGCTCGACGCGCCGCCCATGTGCAGCTTCAGCGCAGCCGTGCCAGCAAGGTATCTCAGCACTCGACGCGCGAGCTTCATGTCGTGGTCGCTGGGCGCGTGGCTGCGGCGTGTCGCACGGTGAACCGCGTACGCGATGTCGGGTCGACTGCATCATGCGACCCACAGCAGGATCCCGACAAGGCTCTGGAAACTCTTGATCGTAGGTCGTTCTGAAGTGCCATCTCCACTCGTGGGAAGTGGCTTCGCGTCGGTGCTCTCTGATTCGATTAACGCTTCGTCACTAACTGGTGAGCGCACTGCGTTTGCCTTTTCCAGACGATTCTTGTGAAGTAGTTCGGTGATCATTTGCTCTTGGTCGACGGTGTACCCGTGCAAGTCGTCGTACCCGAAGCGCATGCCCGGAAAGTTCTCGACGCTCCCGAGGCACTTGAGCTCCAGGCTCTGCATCGACGCGCCAAAGTCGTCTAGCAGCTCGTAGCTCGTCGCGGTAGCATAAGGTCATCGAAATACACTCCTACTACTGTCGTGCCTTCGGCTGTTGTCTTCACGTAGACACATGCGTCCGTGGATGACTGTGAGAATCCGGCGTCATTCAGCGTTTGGTCGAGTAGCTGGTTCCACAGTCGCCCGGCCTGCTTCAGCCCGTAAAGATTTTTGATGAGCCGCAGGCACGTCTCGCCGGCGTTTGTCACGTTAATCTTTCGCAGCTGATCATCACTGATCGTCATTCCTTCTGTAACGGGCATGTGAATCTCGATCTCCTCCTCCTTGTAGGTCTTCACGTAGGCGATCGGGACGTCAAAGTGTCGCGCGCGCACGTTCCATAGCCGGGCAAACGCGAGAATGACTTTTCCGCTAGTCATGTCCAAGACAGCTGCAAATGTCAGGTTGTAGTCTCTTCGGAGCACTTAATTGTCGCCTCCTGCTACAAGTCTTGCTTTGTAGCGTTCGATGGACCCGCTGCCGTTCATCTTCGTTATGAGAACCCACTTGTTGCGGAGCACGTGCATGTGCTTCCCGCGTTTGATTACCTGCCACGTGTTGTTTGTTTCCAGCGAAGCGATCTCGTCGTTTATCTCCTGGGCCCAGAGGTGCGCGTCTGGAAGTGCACGCGACGCCTTGTACGTCTTCGGGTCGGGAAAGTTTGTGTACTGATCCTCCCCCGCCCCTAATGTGGACATGAAAACCGATTGGAAAAACGTCGCTGCGGCAACTGGATCTCGCGGCCCGCGTCGCGCTGTATTTTCTGCATCGTCGGCTGCCTGCTGCTTTGCCGACTTCGTTCTCACACGTCCAGACGTTCGCGGGAGTCCGTTCGTATCGTTATCATCGTCGGCTGCCTGCTGCTTTGCCGACTTCGTTCTCACACGAGATTCGCGGTAGTCTGTTCGAATCGTCACCATCGTTGTTTGATATATTTTACTCTGCGTCTGTTTGTTCCGACGCCTTTGCTTTTCGTTGCGCTGTTGACTTCGACTTCGACTCCTTGTCGCGTTTCGCGCGCGTTTGTGTCTGCGCCGCAGCTGTCGTTGTTGGTGTCGACTCGGTTTTGGCGGCAGATCGTTCGCCTGAGCGTTCGCCGTTTGACTCCTCCCGGTGTCTACTTACTTCTCGTTCATAGGCTAGTTTCTCGAGCTCGTCGTCAGCTTCTGACTCGAGCGCTTGTCTCAGCCGATTGTTTGCTTCAGCTATCAGTGTTTCGATTTGGTTCACGTGTCGGGTAGTCACCACGACCTACTTTCCGGTGAGTAGCACCTTGTACCCCTTGACCTCTTCGTTTTTGCCGACAATGATCCCTGGCGCTCCGCGCTTTCCCAGGGATGCGGTTTTTGGGTTCTGGTACACCTTGCAAGGCGAAACGAACACCTCCACGTCCGCGACACCCACTGGCTTCTTTGTGAGCAGCTCCAGAGGCGATTTGCGGCCTGGACTGGCGCGAGTCGGCATCCTGTTCGGGACGTACGCCGCGTATTCCGCGGCGTATCCCCAGTAGCCGAGCGGAAGGCCACAACCGAAGAGCATGCACCTCACTATGTGCATAACGGTTCGGTGCATTCTCTCGGCCTTTCCGATTGACGCCGACGTGTTGCGCTCAGTAATTTGCCTGCCGATGCCCGTCTGCTGACAGAAGAGGTCAAGGTTGCGGTACTCGCCTCCTCCATCCGTCCGCAACATGCGGACTCGCACGTTGAATTGTCTTTCAAAAAAGACCATAAAGTGCTGGAACTTTCGGGCGGCCTCGTCCTTAGACTTCGCGACGAACACACGCACGTAGTTGGATTTGCGGTCGATAAAATTAATCATGTATCGATTTTTCCGCTGGTCCATGGGCGTGATGGGACCTTTGAGGTCACTGCAAATGACCCCACCGACCACGTCAATCGGCGCGTTGAGACCGCTGTCCTTCTTAGGCTGTGCCGACTTGGACTGTTTTCCCTCAGAGCATGTCAAGCAGCTCTCCATCACTTTGTCAGTAATCTCGAGTCCGTTCGCCGGGTTCGCGACGAGTCGCTCAACGTCTTCGTAATTCGAGTGGCCAAAGCGCCTGTGAAGGCTCATCAAGCTCCCTTTCTGCACTGTTGCCTCTCGGGGCTGCAACTCGTCGATCGCGTGCAGGATCGCGTCCTTCAACCCGTTTGCTCGTTGCTTCCCGTGCCCACGGTCAACGACAAGGACATTCTGCTTGATCTGAACGTACATCACGAAGTCGCTGTCGATCATCAATGCGTGCCTGTTGTTCTTGTCGGCGAGGTGGCAGCCCTGTAGCATGAGTGTGCCGAGTGAGATTAGATCAATGGACAGCTTAGGCGCGTAGTTGACGTTGCGCAGCTCGATCCAGTACGTCTCGCCGTCCACCTTCACGCGCAGTCGCGCTTTGCCGCGTCGCGTCACCCGCAGCGCACTTTTGTCAGGCAGCGTCACGCCATTGGGGTCGTCTCACTCCTCCCAATCGTACAGCACGCTGCTGTGTTTGACGAGGTGTGCGCTGGCGCCGGAGTCGACAATCCAGTCCTCTTCCTTCAGGAAACCTGCGACGAGTCCAGCAAGCGTCCATCGAGGTGCCTCTTCGTCGCTCTCGTTCTTCGGACTACTGCGACACGTGCGCGCGATGTGCACGACTGTGCTACAGATGTTGCACACCCTGGTGTCCGTGCGTGCGATGGTGGTCGCTGCTGCTACTGCGGCTTTGGCTGGGCGAGGCGCCCGTTTCTCATTGTCCTCGTAAGTCTGCGCCCACTGCGTAACTTCGAGCGCGTAGGTCACAAAGTCAGTGCGCATTCGGTCGTACTGGCTCGCGAGGACAAGTCGCAACTTTGGGCCGGCATGCATCCCGAGGCTTTCCGGGATCAAGGACGCCGACGCACCCGTAGCATTTCGCACTGCGATGAGGTAGAGGTAGTGTGCATGCCAGGTGTCGCTGCTGCTTTTGCGCCTGTTGAAGAACTCGGACACTTGTGCGCTAGTGAAGCTGCGCGAAAAAGACGATTCCATCTCCTCCATCGCGTAGGACAGCGTCCTTTCCGTGTCCCACCACTCGTCTCTGAGTCCATGAAAGAACTCTTCAGCTTCTCCTCGGAGACACGCGCCAAGTTTGCTGATTTTGTACTTCTCCGGTCACGCGTAGCCGCACACCTCTTGAGCCATTTCGAGCTCTTCCCTAAACGCGCGGCCCCAGTGCTTGAACCCGCCGCCCAAACCCTTGTGGAGCTCCTTGCCGGTGAACACGCGTATGTCGAGCTTCGCATCCTTTGCCAGTGGCACACGGGTCGATCTGCTGACAAGCGCTCCTCCAGTCGGCGAATTTACGCCTGGCTGCTGCATCCTCGCTTGAGCGGATGCGCAATTCGTCGCATCGCGTGCTACTGCTCCGCGTGCCACCACTCCGCGTGCCGCAGTCTCGCGCGCCGCGGATTCGTGAGTTGCTCTCGCTTAACCTCGCTTTTCCGCCTCACGCACGCGATGCTCGACGTCTGCTGCGTTGTGCTGCGCATGCTGCCACGCGCGACCCGCGTTTGCTTGGTCTAGGTTGACACGTCCGGCTTCTTCTCCAAGCCTCGACTCGCGCGTCTGCTGCTCCTCTTTCACGCGCCGCTCTTGCTCCGCTAGCGCCATTTCACGTGCGCGGTGCGCTTCTCCAGCCGCTCTCACTTGCTCATTAAGCTCGATCTCTCGCTCGCGTTGCCGATTCTTTTCGTGCAACAAATCTTGCTTGTGTCGAAAGAGACTCTGTTCTCTCTCTTGTGCTGCGCGGGTTTGCTGTTCGTTTTGCAGTGCAAGCGCTTCTCGCTCCGATTGCAGTCGTGCTTGGAATTGCGCAATTTTGCGCCCTTGAGCTTCCAGCTGCGCCGCCAGCGCGTCTCGTTGTTGCCGCTGGAGCTCTGCTTCGCTCAGCAGATATCGTTCGACCTGCTGCAGTTGTCCGTGGGCAGCTTGGATAGCAGCTCGGTGCTCTGCTTGCTGTGTCTCTTGTGCCTCTGCCACTGCTCGCAGATGCATGCCTTGAGCTTCCGCGGCGACTCGCAGACCTTCACTCGCGACCGCAAGTTGTTGGAGAAGCTGCTGCTGTTCTTATCGCGGCGCTCTTCTTTCCGTCCTGACGCTCGCGTTGCGTACTCTGGACTCAGTCCCAAAGACGTCGTGGAGGTCGTCAACCTCCATGGGTCTCACATGCGTCATTCGCATAGACGGGGATCTGAATGTCTCTGCTGCTCTCATCGTTGGCACCAGAGCTCTTAAATCGGTCCCGCCTGGCCCAAAAGTTGTTCCTGTTGGTGCCGGCAGCGTCAGTCGTTCTCTCTCGAGTTCCTCGAGCCGTGCGACCATCGCAGCTTGTTGTTCCATGACAAGCGCGAGCTCGGGTCGCATGCCTTCTCCGCTGTTGTCGCTCGATACAGCCGGAGGAGTCTGCGCGGCCTCTTGCGTGTTGCGACGCCGCGCCATCGATGCCGCCGCTGCGCGTTGGGCGGCGCTCGCGTACTCGACGCCCCTACTTGGGCAATAGCCTGTTGACTTTGCATTCGCGTGCAAAGGGAGATACGAGTGCGCGGTCGATGTGATTTTCCAGACTGTATTGTGTGGTTGCGATTCTCACGAAATCTACTCTTGGTCTCACTATATACTACGTACAGACGCTCTTCACTATCTCAAGAATTCTGCAAGCTGCACAGCTTCTCCACCCTTCTTGTCAGGTGCCGTGCCTCCACTTCCAACAAGAGCGGCTTTGATAAGAATGTGCAGTACAGTTTTTTGCATCAGCATATTCTATCTCATGTCCATAATGTGCCAATAAAACCGAGATGCTATCTAGTGTGCATTATTTTCTTCTGTGCAGATAACTATAATGCGTCTTTCTTTGCCGCATCCATACCCCAACATCCATATCAGCACCGCTATTACTACCTCCATCAGCAACTTCTTGTTTGTGACGACCACGATGCTTTATCAGCATTGCGTGTCATGTAAACGTGCTATCTAGAGCAAATAATGCAGTAGGAGAGAGAACGAAGCAGACATACGTGCATGTTTTCTATGATTGCGGCCATGTGTATATTCGGCCGCGTCGTATACATCGATGGTGCATTTGTGTGTGTTGTGGTTCATTCTTATTTCTCAATCTTGTGGAACAGTACTTTTATTTTCTCAATTTTGTGGTGCTATATAATTATCGTGTCCGCCTTGTGGTGCATTTTCTTCTTGATTATTGCAGTAATTCTTCTCCTAAATACTTGGTGCCGTATGTTGAATGCCCTCAATTTTATTCGAGCGTTAAATATGATCTTCGATCATCGCCCGTTTGATCGTGACAATTTTGGTCTCACCCGCTCATTCGAAGCTAAACGCGAAAATGGTGTGATCTCGTTGTCCATGCATCGACATCGTACACCCCTTTCTACCAGCCCGTGGAATCAATGAACACCTACGACGATGTTTAGTTGACTTGTTGCGCCTATGTTGTATGTGGATGTCAGGCCAACCAAGCAGCCAAAAAGGCTCAGCGTGCCAGTGCGTCACTCAGCACGCGTCTGCAAAAGTGGATTGTGCCCCTGAACGTCGTGTACCTCCTCTTTCGTTTCCTGTGGCACTACCACTCGGTGACGACGTGGACAGTAGTGGGGTACGCTTTTTTGGCCGTATCCACGTATCTCAGCTACTCATGGGCGGTCAGGGCAGCTGAAGAAGGCGGCAGGAGCGAGTACGTGGCTTTATGGCTCATGCTCTCTACTAGTTGGTACACATGATCGGATCTGAAAAACTCACGGATCCACTGCTTTGCGTATGGCTACTATTAGGTACGCAATGGACGTGTTGATCGTCACGCTGTTTGTGCAGAGTGGAGCCATGTTTTCAGACTACTTTTGGCTCGTGTATCTCGTCATTCCGGGCTACTTGCTCTACCACGGGGGCCGCATGTTGCTCAACTACGTTTTCACGCCGAATGCATCCACAGACGAGGATAAAAACGACCCGGCCGCTCTGAGGAAGAGGGAAAAGGCAGAGCGCAAAGCCGCGCAGCCCAAATACAAGAACAGCCGTCGATAGATGACCGCTCTTCTGGCTGAGAGAACGAGGGTCGCATCGTGTTGGTTCTGGCAGACGTATGCGATTCAATCTACAACTTTACATACTCGTATTACGAAATCAGCTGCTTCTCTGTGCCCGGAGCCGGTGCTGGTCCACGTCAGTTTCCCTCCATTATCATAGCGTTGCCGTGGCAATTCTGCTGGTCGCAAGTGACGCCACGCTCAGGCAGTATGGTGTACAGCTTCTGTCAATCCCTCGACTTGATAGTAGCCTGACATTGTACCCCGACGCCTTGTCGAAGAGATCGTGCGGTGTCTCAATGTGGATGTGCCTCCGCCGCGAGGCTGAGTTGTTGCATTTACAAAAATACGCTTTCTCATGACTCCATATCTTCCATGGCGGTCGGGCACGACCAAGTGTCGGTGGCATCGCCTTGTGGACTTGATGGGCAGGAAGCCCGTTGAGATACCTCAGTGCTGTGGCATTGTTGGTTCACTGCAACCGCAGTTTCCTCATCTGTCAAGCTACCCGAGGACCGTAATGTCCGATCAGACCCCGTAGCCAACTCCTTCTGCTCTTTTTGGAGTTGCGTCGCAATGGCTGATATGGTCTTGGGGTGGAACGGCAAACTGGTTGGTGCGTCCGGGTTCGCAAACGGATGCCGAGCAATCTCGTACAAGAGGTCTTCAGGTAAACGATGGAACAATTGCAAAGCGATGGAAATAAGTAGATCTGACTGGAGAGGGGGCACACATCGGAGGCTGAGCACCTTCATCAAGTCCATATCTCTTTTTCCAAGCACAAACAACAAGAATACAAGCGTTTAGCCAGCACGAACGCACATAACGATAGCATGCCTGGAAACTCGAAGCCGTACAATTGCAGCAGTTGTTCTCGAAGAAGTACCGTATGTGCGACAGCGAGAATCACCACAAAGTGTACACCTACTGCAAAAAGCTATGGCAGTGACAAACACAAGAGTGAGCAAAATGACTTCACACAGTAGTGTCGACACCAGACGCAATGCGTACCACATCCCATACGCGAAGAAGTTCGTGCAGTGGAGGTACACAAGCAAATAGACTCAGGATCAATGGAAGCGCGTATATCCGCGCTGTGATGCCTCGACGAAGCAGATGTTGGTACAAATCCGGGTCCAGCTTCATCATCATCAACAACAACAGCAAAAGAAGTGTCAGCAACTTGCAGTGTCCAGGGACCATCGCTAACTAACAAATACGCGATGGATGGGTACACGGATGTGTAGCGACTACCGTTTCGAGGCACTTGTCCACAAGGGCACAGCCTTTTTCCACACCTTGAAGCTGTGCCGCCATGTAGTGCGGACAATGGCGGACAATGAGCTGACAAAACGTGTGGTACGCGTCTGGCTCGGGCAGTACATACAGCAAAGGTGCACATAACACATTCATTCCCTGAACGTATCTACGCCATTGTCGTCATCATCCATAGCAATAGAGACATGCAAAAAAAAGCACCTCAGTATCCCGTCTGTCGGCTGACGCCCGTCCAAAAAAATGAGCACCCGACCCACACCAAGTGCAGACAAATGTACGCACCTGATCGACGGCACATTGCCATCATGCGCCTGCTCGCTGCCGTCTTCCTGCGCCGCTGCTTCGCCAGGCGGCACTGCGCCCAACTCGTTGATAAAGACGTTCAGCAGCCGCACGAGTTTCTCTTCGGGCACGCGCTGGGCGAACTCCGAGTCGCCGCGGAACGTCCGGAACGTGTCGTTCCGAATGTCGCCGTCGTCGTGCGAGGCGCCCCGACCGACAAGCGCCGCGTACTTTGTCATGTCGACGTCGTTCTCCACGCCCAAGAAGGTCTTCCACACGCGTCCGCGCAGCGAGCAGAGACTCGATGTCGCATCGACCGTCGACGCTTCGTCTCGAGGCAGTCCGTGCACGATCACGAGGCGCCGGAGCTCGCGCCAGCGGCTGTAGTCGGACGCGATCGAGTCGCCGGCCAAGAGCGCGTCGTATTGTTCGCGAAGTGGAGTGTCCATACTGACGCGCCACCGCCGCGGCGACACGGTTGACTATAGGCGAGTGCTGGACGCGCTTTTGATTGGTCGAAATACTGTCGATCGAAGCGCAACGACGCGACGCGGGACGTGCGTCAGAACCGGCTGCTCAGCGTCGGAGGCACGAAGCGCGTGCGGTTGAGGGAGTGGCTACACTTTGCTTGTAGACGCGAGGGCGGCTGGGATGACAAGAGACGAGGCAGAGTTCAAAATCGAAGAGGGCGCCCGCGTGTTGGTGCGTGGCAAGTACGCAGGGGTAAGTTGCTCCTTGGGGTTCACTTGACGCGACAGGGCGGGAAAGCGAGAGGGGGCGAGCATGGCCACCGCTTGTCGCGGGGTCGTGGCCTGCACCTGTTTCTGTCTATTTCACCTACCCCCGATTGCTGCTCAGGTAATCCGGTACGTGCCGCCGCGTCGATCGGCTCTTGTGGGCGTAGAGCTCCTTCGAGCGCGAGGCGACAATGACGGCGTCGCTGAAGACGGCGAACGTCACTTTGCATGCAAACCGTTGCACGGCATCTTTGTCCGCGAAGAGCAGCTTGATGTGCGTTGTGATGCCAGTTTCTGCTTTTTGTGTCGTTTTTGCGTTTTTGTTTGCTTTTTCGGCATCGTATGCTGCGGTTTGCTTTTTTCGCTTGTCAGTTGACGTTTTCGGTGTGACGTGCATAGGCCTTTTCGGAACGAGACAGGGCAGCGTGTGTCGTGCAGAGTGTCTGGCGACGGTCGCGTGCATGGCGAACGTTTCGCCACCTCGTGTTTTCACATGCGTGGAATCTATTGGACAGCACGCAAGAGCATCTCGATCTGAAGCGCTCTGAGCTCTTCAAGTCGGCAGAACAGACGCTCGCGCAGCTGACGAACACACAACAGGTCAGACGAGACGGCCACTGTCTGTATCGATTACGTCAACTGGCTGTTTTGATCGCAGTCTATGTGTCGCTTGTAACTCTGATGTTGTTCTGGCTGTTGTTATTCGATCGGGATGTTGTTATTCGATTGGGATGTTGCAGTCGGTGTCTCGGACAGTGTCGGATGTTTTTGTGGCTGGGATCACGATCGACCCTTCGTACGCAGGACCGCACTTACGCTGGCCGCTGGAGCTGTCAAATGTCTTGGAGATATTGGATTCATTCAAGACGACGCAAGTCATGCACTACAAGTACGTGCTGGAAGTCCTCAAAGAAGGCGTGCGGTCGCTCGGTCCGTTGCCAACGTTGCAGGAAATTTCGCTCGTCGAAGGAGAAAAACTCACGGTAGTGGGAGATCTCCATGGCCAACTACAGGACCTCTTCTCCATCTTCTCGGCCAACGGCCTTCCTACTCGGACCAACAAGTATCTTTTCAATGGAGACTTTGTGGACCGTGGCATGTACGGCACGGAGGTAGTCATGACACTCCTGCTCTTCCGTTTGCTGTACCCGACCAGTGTGTTTCTCAATCGAGGCAACCACGAGTCCCGGAATCAAAACTCGTGGATGGGCTTCGAGGACGAAGTGTGGTTGAAATATTCCGGTGCCGACGAAGACGATTTCGAACGCCCAGCTCTCATTTTCGAGTGCTTCCAGACGCTGTTCGAGGCCATTCCACTCTGCGCTGTTCTACAGGAGAAAATCTTTGTCGTGCATGGGGGACTGTTTTCGCGCGACAATGTCACACTGGCTCATTTGCGCGGCATTTCGCGCAAGCGTGAGCCCCCGCTCCATGAATCGAACTTCGAAGACAAGATCTTCGAAGACATGCTGTGGAGCGATCCACGTCCCATTCAATCGCGGCAGCCGTCGGAGCGTGGTGCTGGCGTGGAGTTCGGCATTCACGTCACCAACAACTTTTGTTTGGTGAACAAAATCGCGTTGGTTATCCGCTCGCACGAGTGCGTACTCGACGGCTACGAGATCCTTCACGGCGGCCGATTGATTACGTTGTTTTCAGCTTCGAGGTACTGCGGAACCCAAATGAACAAGGGGGCTTTCTTGACCTTAGGACCAGACTTGCATCCGGAAATACAGCAGTTTTATGCCAATTCCATGAATGAGAGCACATTCGAGGCACCAGAACAGGCACAGATGCAGGGTGTGTTGGAAGAAGATACTCTTCGAATGATCGCAGAGCGTATTTGCGATCACAAGGCGTCATTGTACTGGTACTTCACGCAGCACGACGAAGAGCACAAAGGCACTGTGCCTAGGTTGGTCTGGGCCGAAGCACTACGGTCCGTGTTGCAAATCGACTTACCTTTCTTGACGTACCAATCCAAGCTCGCAGAAGTGGTAGACGGCGACCCTGGACGTATCAATTACTCGCATTTCTTGGCTCGATACCGCATTGAGAACGACGCAATGGATAACAGCGGCTGGCAAGAAAGTATTATTGCGCTCATTTGCAAGAAGCTGTACCGTGCAATGGGCGCTGGTGACATGCAGCAAGCTTTCAAGGTGTTTGATGCCGACCTAAACGGCTTTATCGAGTACGAGGAATTTGTCAGCACGCTCAAGCAGATGGACACAGGGCTGGCAGATCAGCAGATTTTCGAGCTTATGCGCACCGCCGACACAAATGACGATGGACGGATTGATTTCAACGAGTTCGCACAACGATTCGAGGTCATCTTCACGGACCAAGGCGGAAACCGCGAGATCGAAGTGGTGGCGCCATCTCCAGCGGATCCAGAAACGGAGATACCTCGTACTGAACAAGGCGAGGCGGTACAGACCGAGCCCATCTTTGCGCGCCGTGTGTCCTCAGCTGATGATCAGTCGACGTTCACACCACGACCCGCAAGCAATCTGGACGTGGAGACAATGCAGGCGCTATTGCAAGTTGGCAAAACATTGTTTTCGCTTCGCGGATCGTTGCAGTATCACTTCTTCCATTTCGACAAGAACGATGACGGTGTCCTCTCTCGCAGTGAGTTCGAGCAGGCGCTCCAGCAGTTGGGCTTTCACTTTGAACAAAGTCTGTTAGATCGGGTGATGGCTGCTGTGGACAGTGACGGCGGCCAGTCAATCGACTACAAGGAGTTTGTGGCAGCGTTCAGTGTGCAAGATGTCAAAGAACAAGCAGCACTCGTGTCCGGCGACCTCACGTGGCAAAACTCGGTGTTGCAGCAGGTCTCGAACGTCTTCTACCAGCACCGCATTCACCTTCGCAATGCCTTCCGCATGTTTGACGCCACGAACAGCGGGGTCATCAGTCGCGACAATTTTCGCACGGGTATCCAAACGTTCAACGTTGTGCTCAATTCCCCGCTGTCGGATGACCAGATTGAAGAGCTGCTGACGTACCTCGATAGCAACAACGACGGCGTGATCAGCTACAAGGAGTTCTTCGACGGCTTTCGTGTAGTGGACGTCCGCGTTGATGATGACAAGTCGTCCGCGATAAAGTGTCAAGGAGAACCGACTGTAGATGGCGAGACGCTTGTGCCTGTTGCCAAGTCGCCGATCGACTGCGCGTGCGAAGAATAAATAGCGACTACGCGTAATCCGTTCGGGTCGCAAGAGCTGTTTGAATGTACTCTGCCGTTGCCGCTACTGCACTTTCCGCGTCATTCGTGCTACTGCTCAGGCGTAACTTCCTCTGTGGATGACCACATTCCACTTCCACGACACTTGCGTCCTGCTCCCTGTCGTAATTGCACGCCGTGACAGTGCACGTAAACGCAGCGCGCTTGCCTTCCTTGTTCACACTAAAGCAGCTCACAGTCGTACCTGCAAACACAAAATACCGTCGCAAGCGCTGGCGTCGCTGCAGCAAGTGATGCCACCTCGGAGCTTGTACATACAGCCACACTGTGTAACTGCGTTCGCAATCTTCTGCGTCTTTTCGCACCACTAGCCCGTCCGACTCGTGAGACGTTCCTCCCGACCAACTTGGCAACATCGGCGCTGTCAACGCCCGCAATCGGTACGCATTTTGCAGCACCCCGCAAAGTCTCGTGGCTTCTTTACATGGCACAGCCGTTGCCCGACGGGTGCTTCCTCCACCCGGTCGCGGTTTCGCCACCTGAGTCACCCTGACCATACCAGCAAACGTGCTGTACCAGTGCTCAAAGTCGGCGCCCAGGCACGTGTGGAGCAGCACCGTGCGGTCTTCATAGTCCGTGACGGCAAACGTCTTGTTCCGTGCGTGCACTCGGTGGACGGCAATGATGACGTGCCGACCAACCGGTCGTGCGCCCTGCTCGGCCTCGTCTGCCGACGTGTAGAACCGGCACACGAGTTCCTCGAGGCGACAAAAGAGCTTCACAAACGTCTGGCGACCACGTCGGGCCGCCCGTGCAACGTGTACGTACCCACAGTACCCTCCAGCCGTGCGGCCGTCCAGTGCCAAGACACCGTCCGCAGCCACACCGGCCATGTCGAGCTGGTCCAAGTCAGTGCATCGCTCGGTCTCGGTCGAGGACGTCGTCGAGCCAAAAGAAAGCGCTTTTTTCGTCCAGCGGGCACGGGCGGTCGCGGCTCGATTGGGAACGGAACTCGCGGCCGACGACGAGTTCGTCTCGAGCCACTCGACCACTGCGACTGTCTCCGTCTTGGACTGCATGTTCAAGAATGTAGTGCTGCAGAGCAAGTGGAGGAGAGCGCGTGCGTGGTGGACCCTCGAGCGCCATCAGGTGCCATCAGGTGCCAGCTGGATGGCTTCTACTACCACTGTAGAGTGTCGTTTGCAGTCGTTTCTGTGTTTTTGCTTTTTTTCGCTGTGGCTTCTTCTTTTTTCTCTGTTTTTGTTGCAGGTGAAAAGACCGACGCGCGACATCCGTCGTTAGAAACGTGATTAGAAACCACGTGCGGACTTTGCTTTGACGTGCCATCTGGCACGGGTTGTTTCGTACAGATAAAAATACCGTGCAGCTGGATGTGACGCACGGACGCTGATTGGCTGGAAGTGCGGCGACCTCGAGCTGACCATTGGCGGTGAGTGCCACACAACCGCAGCTTCCTTTTTTGACGTGAACCACGCTAAGATCACGATCGTTGCACTAGGTAGGTACTCGCTCACCCACTACCAGCAGACAGTGATTGCAAATGGACGTTGTGGTACTACTTTTGTCGATATAAAACCTTAGTTAACAGCTGTCAGAGGATGTCGCTTGGGTCGCACCATCGGGTTCAGGTGCTGCGTCAACCTTTTGGTTTGCCACCACAAGTGGGACCAACTGAGCATTGTCCGAGCATTCCAAGCTTCGCCACCGCTTCTTCTCGTACACTTGCTTGTAGTCTTGTACCAAACCTCGATCGCTGCTCATCCGAGAATCAGGTACAAGACGAAACCAGCGATCAGTAAAACGAAAGGCATCACCGTTTTCCGTCGACAAGCGCGTGACCGACGACGTTTCTCAATACTTGCGTCCTTTGATGTAATCACGAGCAAATGATCAGCCTTGGAGGGATCGTGCAAGTACGACACGATGTCCCATCCGTTGTACGACTGACAAGAAAAGCGGCCATCGGACACTTCCACCGAATAGCCCTTGGGGTACTGCAGATGCGGCACAAAGACTTCCGTTGGGTGGTGCACGGATGTTTTACACGAGCTGCCTGAAACCGAGCAGTACTCCAACTCGTAGCGCACGCAAGAAAGCTGGAACTCCGACTTGGACGGAGTGCCTGCAATGCGTGTGGCATAGGGACGAGCAAATGCCTTCAGTGCTCGCGCACAGGCGTCTGGATTTGAGACCGACAGCCGGTCGTCTGGCTGGACAGACTTGACCTTGCTGATCAAACTCAAGTCCTCCAGATTCCACTGATCGCCATAGTCATTGCAGTTGTCCGACGTGTAACACCAAAGCGTGAACGAAACCAACGAGGCCTCGAGACACGAGATAGTATTGTCCAGAGCGCCAATTTGCGCACGAAAGTCACCGTTTCGGTATGCTGAGCCGGCGTGCATGTCAAACGGGATACCCGTTTCGCCAATGAGCGTCGGAGCATTCTTCATCTGCTCTCTCCCGTAGACCTTGATACCCTCTAGCTGCTTCATATGCATCCTGCGCACCGCAGCAGAGCCAAATGCAGGACGCTTTGTCCTTGGGTCTACTGTGAAATACGGACGCCAGGCACGCAAGAACAACGTGACCCCGTCGTACCAGTGCGTAGCATTGACTGCGCGTGGAATCAAAGTATCGTCAATGTCAGGGAACTCGTCAATGCTGAACTCTAGTGGTGGCAGCTCAACGAACAGCAAAGCGTGGGGCAGGATGCTGCGAATGCGCTTGGTGAAGTGCTGTAGTTATCAGAATACAGGCAAGACCACGACAACCGGTGAGTGCCCTGGTAACCACACAAAGTGACGGCAAAACGTACCGCTGCAAAAGGCACGTAGCAATCGCGACCAAACATGATGTCGGCAAAGTGATCTGGACGCAGCAAGACTGGTTTGCCAGTCTGGTCATCCACGTCCCAAACGCCTTCTTCCCTCCAGATGCAGCGTCGACCTCGCTGCCAAGCGCGTACTCCCTTAGGATCTACTGTCACAAGCTCATCGGGTCGTCCAAACACGTGTTGGTTTGCACCATTTGACCAGCGCTGAATGACCTGCCGATGGCCGTCAGCAAGGGCCATGCCTTCGAAAGGTGTGGGTGCTAGTTCGTACTTCAGCTCTCCGTGGTGATAATGCTTGTCTAAGTTCTTGAGTCCCAAGTACCCAGAAGAAGGTTCATTCATCGTTCCAAAGCCCACAACGTTTGTCAGTCCCTCCAGTGCTTCGGCCAGTTTTGCCATTGCATCCAAGTAGTGCGACTGCAGATACTCTTGTACTTGAACGCCATGGACCGTACACGAGGGCGCACATTTAGCACCTCCCCAAAAAAGTGAAAACATAGTAGCACACGCCATTTTGAAGTAGTTCGTCGGCCAAATCATCTTGGGAAACTTCTTTGCCTCTACGCCACACGTTTCAATACACAGCGCTGCTTTCGTGGCCTCAAAGTTGCGCGGCTCGAGTCCCACACTTTCCAATGTCCACATTGGCGCGCCATCGCCGCCCGTCCATCTCGACCACACGTCTTGGTGTGGATCAATGTAAACACTGAGGTCATAGTCGGCTGCAAGTTCAACGAGGTCACGCACGTAGCATAGAAACTCCTGGTCGTACACTCCTGGTCCGCCATGTTCGACTGCTTCCCACGTGACGACAAAGCGAAGGAGCGTCAAGCCCCAGCGCTGGAGTCTCGCAAAGTGCACAGGCGCTTCACTCAATGGGAACGGACGATTGACAAACGAGACGCTGCGTGCGCTGCTGAAGAAACGATCGCTGCTGCTGCAGTGACTGTTTGTGTGGCGGTAGTTGAACGGGAGCTTCGAAGAGCCGCCCAAGTTGACGCCGCGGAGAAGCCGGACGCGGCCTTGCGCATCGACAAAGTGGCCATTGCGAATCGACACGGCAGTTGCAGTCATGCTGGGCGACTCGAGCACCTGCAGCAGCAGCAGATCTACAGGACGTGACGGCGATCTGTGACGTGGTACGAGCACCTGCGACTGCTACTGGACAAGACGAAGAGTTTTAGCGAATCATGGACGAGGGATCTGCGCCACTTCAACAAGCGGACGCGGTGTGGGGTACATGACAAGTCAGAGGGATGCTGTGTCGTGGGATATTCTCGGTAGATTCCTACTATATCTTCGAGAGGGGGAAAGAAGGCGGAAAAGCTCAGCTGCGAGCTTCCTTCAGTCGTCAGCTGCGTGTCGGCTGTTCAGTCAGTTCGTTACAAGAGTGACAGAAACGTGGGAAAAGAATGCCACGTGCATCTCAAAAATGTACGAGACACTCAAAGAAGATGACGGTGAAGACATCGAATAAATGGGCGACGTCGGTGCTGTCAGCACGTACGTCGAGAAGATCAACCGTGCACTGCATCACACACGGACGCCCCACTGGACTGCAACAAGTCGTTGGCCATTTGCCGCTGTCTCGCGAGCGGCTCAGTGCGCTGCTAGTCGAAGTAGGACCATGTCTCTCATTTGCAGTAGGAGCCCAAACGGTCGACAAAGTGCCGAGGAAGTCGATTGCTGCAGCTAGCTAATTTCTTTGCGCACAGCTCTATTGTGCGCGAGATCAAGCAATGCACTGCGACTCTTTCTTTGTGCCGAGCGACACACGCCCACGTCTGTGTCCTCATGTAACAATAACAACGACAGCGACGACAGCAATGACACTAAAAAGGGAAAGAGAAGAAGGAGAGCTACGAATGCTGCGGCTGGCCATGGCCTCGCCCACAACCCTAGTGTCGTCTACGCGCGTCGTCTTGTCATCGTTGCACAATGGCGTCTGCCTCGTCCTTTTTCTCGTCCCGATCCAATGCGGCACGGGATAAGAATCGACTGCTGCTCACTGCTGCCGGATGGACCAGTTCGATGCTGTTGGGAATCCTCTTTCCCGTCATTCTCCTCTCTCCGGTCATACCACTCGACGCTTGACCCAATGACTCACGATATCCTCAACACAGCCTACCCCTATGTCCGCGCACGATCGCAGAGCCACCCGTTTTCTGCCCTCCCCTACCCGCCCTTCCCGCTCAGCCGGCACTCGGGTTGCTCAATGCTCGACGCGCCAGCAAAGCGACTTGGCTCGGTTCAAGTGACACGTGCTCCCGGGCCCCCTCATTGCGCAACCCAAGGACCACGCAATCGAACCACCGACAAACGAACAGACAAACGAACAGACAAACAAACAAACACGCAAAAAACACACAGACCGAATCTGGAGCCGTTGCCGCATCACGAACGCACTTGACCACGTCTCCATTCTTGTGGATTGAGTGACCCGAGGGCGACCTCTACGACTACACAACTAGTACCACCGCAACAACTACTGATACAACTACTGCTACAAGTGCTACGAAGTCTGGGACCGCCTCTACTTGTTGATTGACGGAGAGACTCTGTTTGCTGCACTGCTCTCGTTTGTCGAGTCGCTTTTGCGTCCGTCATGAGTGCCCCTGAGGAGTACCGGGGCCCAAAGTTCGTGGGTATCATGGGCCACGACAACGTGAGCCACAACGGGAGCAAGACGACGGTCTACTTCGTGCAGGTGCAAGTGCCCGATGGCGGCATGTTCATCGTGCGACACCGCTACCACGAGTTCAAAGACTTTCACGACAAGGTGAGGGCGACAAGTCTGGACGTCGAGGCTTTGTGTGGGGGCGCTGTGCTGGGGTCGTAGCGGGCTTTGCTGTCGTACTGTTGGGGTTGGTTGTGTACTGATTTATTGTTCGTTTTTTGTCTTCTTTTTGTTTCTTCTTTGTTCTTTTTGTATCTTGTTTCCTTTTTTGCTTCTTTTTTCTTTCTTCGTGTGTGTTTCGGTAGATGTCAAGCGAAGGGTTCCGCTGTCCAGCGCTGCCACCGAAAAAGTTCTTGGGCAATAACAATAAGGAGTTTATTGAAAAACGACAGCAGGAGCTTGCGAATTGGCTACATCTGCTATGCCAATTCGATCCGGCGTCAGGGAACTCGGATCCTCGAACTTCCGAGCTTTTCAAGGAGTTCATGCTGACAAACGTACGCAAATTGTTCATCTTCCGTCTGTCTGTGAATCTGTCTGTCTGGTTGCTTGACGAGTCTCTGACATTGCGATTGGAACTGTGTATGCGCTGGCGGGACGCGTATTGTGTGTGTGTGTGATTTTTTTGTCACACGAGCAGAAAGAACCGCTGGAAAAGTACCAGGGCGCCACGGCCATGTCTTACGAAGCTACACCTCCGACGTCGCAGTCGTCGGATGCCGATAGTGAGACGGGGCTCTATAACACGCCCAAGACCACGCTGGACGACTTTGAGCTACTCAAGGTCATTGGCAAAGGCTCGTACGGCAAAGTCACGCTCGTGCGCAAGAAAGAGGGCAATCGCTTGTTTGCCATGAAGTCGCTGAACAAGTCGAACGTAAAGCGTCGCAACCAGGTGGAGCACACGCGCACAGAGCGACGTGTGCTGGGCCGTGCCAAGCACCCGTTCATTGTGCACCTGCACTACGCTTTCCAGACGTCGCAGAAACTCTACTTCGTGCTAGACTACTGTCCAGGTGGCGAGCTTTTCTTTCACCTGTCGCGAATGGAAAAGTTCACGCCAGCGATGGCGCTGTACTATTGCGCCGAGATCACACTGGCACTGGAGCATCTGCACGATTTAGGTGTTGTCTACCGGTGCGTAATGAATGCTGCTTGAAAGTGGATTGTTTGCCATGATGTTGAGCTGACGTGTGTCGTTCGTCTGTGGCTGTGTTACTACAGTGACCTCAAGCCCGAGAACATTCTGTTCGATCCTGTCGGTCACGTCTTGCTTGGTACGGGACGAACTCTAGAGAATTCGTTGCCCATGTGCTGATGACGTTGCTGTTTCGTTACCGTCGTTTCGTTGCTGCAGCCGACTTTGGACTTGCGAAGGAAGGCATCACGGATAGTGCTGAGGGCACCAACTCGATGTGTGGTACGCCCGAGTACTTGCCTCCCGAGATTTTGGACCGTGTGGGTCACGGCACGGCTGTGGACTGGTGGGCCATGGGCATGGTGCTGTACGAGATGCTCACGGGTTTGCCTCCTTGGTACACCCGCAACCGCCAGAAACTGTTTGACCGTGTGCGCAATGCTCCGTTGACGTTCCCCGACGAAGTTGACCCTGTCGCTTGCGACTTTATCGGCGGCTTGCTCCGACGCGACCCGAACAAGCGTCTAGGTAGCAAGAGTGCAGACGAGGTGAAGAATCACGCGTACTTCGCGGGTCTCAACTGGCAGGACCTTTACGATCGCAAGATCCCGCCTCCGTTTAACCCGTGCGCTAGCGCTGGCAATGCCGAGGAGACAAAGAACTTTGAGGCAGAATTCACCAAGATGCAGATCAACAGCGTGGAAAACTCGGCATTAGGCGGTTTGCGCGTGTCTGATGCGTCGCGTCCGTCCATGACGTTCCAGGGTTTTACGTACAACACGCCTAATGATCTGTCAATGAGTGGCTCTGTCGGTCGTGGTTAAGATGGCTACCCGTGTGAAATGGTTCGATTCGCCTCGTTGTTTCGGCATGTGGATGCATGACAATCTAAAAGTGGCTACCACGTGACGGCTGGAAGAAGGCAGAGAGAGGTGGTCACTGGAGGAATGCCTAGAAGCGAGCAGGGAAGGAGATTGGACGTTGCATGTGGGGGACTGAACTGCTGGAAGCAGAGCAGGCAGCATGTTGGTGTGATGAGTAGGAAAGGAAGAGGTTACATACAAAAGGGTGGGCGATGCAAGCTGACCGGCCGAACGAGCACAGACAAAGTCACGGGCGCATTTTCAGCGGAATGGTAGAAGGGTCGTCGTTGATGTGACTGTTTCTAGCCTGTATACCAAATGAACTCGAAGTTTGAAATCATGAAAAGTGTATCACACGCTTACGCTCATGCCGAGCTTACGCTACGTGTCAGCAGCATCACTTTTGTCCGCTGTGCCAGCGTTGTCATCGGTCGCATCATTGTCAGTCGTATCACCATTGTCGTTGCCGTTGGCAGTAGCTCGTAGAATTCGGTTATATCGCTTGAGATTACGGAATTTGTCCTTCAGATCGACGTTCGACCGATTCCGAAGCACGTCTGGAAATTTCGTCTTGATTAGCTTCCATACGCTTGAATACTTGTGGTACAGCCTGTAGCCTTCAATCAGCGCTTCCTCTTCTTCTGCAGACCAGCGTACTCGTTTGCGTCGACCAGTTGGACGGCCAGTCGCTCCAGAAGTAGTGACCACATTATCTTCACTTGAGACCTACATTGATTCAACGAGACCGATGGTTATACGTTTTCGGTGACCACCAGCAAGACTGAGCACCACTTCTTACCCTAGTACGAGCAGCAGCACAACGACCTTCTTGATGGCTCACCCTGGCAGCTTCTGCACTACGTGACGGTCTCGACGGCACAGGCCGCTCGGACGCCGGAGGTTCGTCCGAAACGTCAGAATGCACGACTTCTGCTTTCAGGTCATTCGCTGGAAGAGCACGAGCAAAACATTAGCTCTACCACTCCATGCGAACGTCTAACATACTTCTCAACAATCGTCATACGGGGGATGAAGCGCGCGTTGGCCAGACCCAGTCCTGGACTTCAGTCGGCTCGGCAGGTTCAGCAGCTGCATTGTCTATGCTGACGGGTGCTCGTGTTTCTCGTGCTGGATCCTGCTCTTGCTCTTGCTCTTGCCCTTGCTCGTCATTCGAGATGGAAGTGATCTGTGACAGATCTCTCCATTCGCGTTGAGTGCCGCCAAACCTTCTTTCCAGCACAGACCGCGGTATAACTTTCCTGCGCAAATGTGATCACGACCGTCTTAGCAGCGCATCCGCACCGCAACAATCACTACTGTAGTTATACCTTGTGTCTCCAGCGATATCCGTAGGGAAAGCGAGCTCGAGTTTCGTCGGACCGAGTGCAGCAGATTCTATCACGCATAATGCACGCTTCATGTCACGCCGAAAAGCAGGGCCCTTGAGTCGGTGCGATTCATAGAACACATCCCAGCACTCCTACATACGCACAGCGACATACCAAGTTAGCCACTGCGATAACGACAACCCTTCCATCACCAGTTGCACAAACTTTTGGCTCGCCCTGCTCGAAAATTTTTTCAAACGTCTCGAGAAATGTCGTGAGCTCTTCGTTCTTACTGCCCCCACTGCACAAAAATGTGAGCGTGTCTCATTCGACCGCCAAGATCGCCAAACACAAACAATGACGTACACTCGTACTTTATCTCTAATCAGCACACACGTCTCGTAGATGCCGTCCACGTGGCACAACTCGTCACTCTCCAACTTAAACAACTCTGCATCAAGACCTTCATATGCTACTGCGAATCGCTGTACCACTAGCTGAAGCAACATACAACAACAGCAACAGAAACAACAACAAAAACAGACAATACAAACACATTATTGGTACCTTTCTACATCACCTACCACCCAAGTGAGAGTGGCTAGCTCACATGTAGAAACAGCGGCGATCGAAACAGCGCGAGGCTTGAGTCTGCGGACATCATGACGTGCAGCTGCAGCACCCGATCGAAGAGGAACACACTGTCCATTGGACTAGCGTCCAGTTCATGTCGGATTGCAGCCAACAGCGCTCTCCAACGGAACGGACTTGTCTCGGACAGTTTCACGCCCGTCTTGTGCAGGATCCCAGCAATGGCTACAGAAAGACACAGAGAGACGGGTTCACGACGTAGTCAGAACACATGCACACGCGTTGAGAAAGAGAGGAATGTAACGGGAAATAAGTGCGTACCGTTGACGTCTTGGAGCGCACCAATGCGGCTCAGGAACTCGCCGCAGACTTCGAGTGCCGCGCGCATGTGCTGTCAAGTGAGATGAGCAAAACACGTACTTAGCAAGAAAAGCGTTTTTCGCTCTCCAGGGACGCATCACCAAAATAGGTCATTGCAAATGGGAGTGTATGTATTTTTGGTGTCGCCAGTCGATGTCGGTGGCAGCGTGTTGCTCCGAAGTAGCGATGACCTTGGTCAAACTCTCTCTACAATGAAATATAGTTATTGCGATCAGTGCGCGCACGGCCAACTAGCTCCGACGCATCGTGTTTGTTGAACAAACGTTGACCCGAAAAATGTACACAACAAAGCCAACGATCTCATACATACCCTTCTACCTCATCTTCACTCGGGTAAATGTGGCATCGACATCATTTTGTCGGTAAGTAAACGCTCGCAAGCGATCGAGATGGAGCACGCGCAACTGCCTGATCTAGTTGCTGTGATCTGTGCATCCTCCCTGCAGCTCTGGATGCAGTGGTACAATCCTGTCAAGTGTCTCTGCAGCTTCTCTGCACGTCTTCGTATTGTCACACGGGCATTCGCAATATGTCAAGCGTAGCTTCTGATCCTACACGGCACTGCATCGTACGTTATGGTCTTTTCCATCCTGAGCAAAGGCTTGAAGCTGCTTGTGGTTGCGTAATGATAGCGCGACGCTGCGTTTGTAGCCTCGAGACACCGAGGTCTTCCATCGCAATGTGTGCTGCTTTGCAGACTTATTGTCCATGCTCACGCGAAACGCATACTACAAAACGTGTCGAACTACCGATGGACGCTAACTTCCCTGCAGGCCTTTGGGTCGCTATCACCACCACATCGGTCATCCATTGGCGCGTTGACGCGTGCTGACGGTTCAGGTAGTCGCATTCTCTGGTATAACAAACGCATCGCGGTGCTGTTGGATGCCGAGAGAAAACTACAGCAATAAGCGCGTACGTCGACGTGATCATTGGCGTGCGATCACTTTAGGAAAGCAAGACATCGGCTATGTCTACCTGGTCCTTCAATACTAACTTCTGTGCCGCTTTTGTCCTCATGAGGAGACGATATTTTACGACATAAATTACGCACCGTCCAGCCGCGTGGACCAAAATAGTCGACAAATGATC